AGGAGGGCGAGGGCGAGGGCGAGGGAGGGGAGGAGGAGAAGGAGGAGGAGCCGCCTCTGGAGTGCGACAGCGCGGCCTTGCCACGAGCCGCGCGGCGGCGGTCGCAGTGCACCCGGCTGCGGCTCGCGGCGCCGTCTCTGCGGCGCTCGGCGCCGTTTGAGGTCGCCATCGGGCATGCATCTGCCACCGTCGCTCCACCGGCTCTGACCGAGTATCGTGTCTTCTCACACACACGACGCGCTCGCGGAGTGATCGATGCCACCCAAGACTCGTGCTGTTCTCTCTCTCTCTCTCTCTCTCTCTCTCTCTCTCTCTCTCTCTCTCTCTCTCTCTCTCTCTCTCTCTCTCTCTCTCTCTCTCTCTCTCTCTCTCTCTCTCTCTCAGAGAGAGATTTTTAGCAATACCAAACAACGGAGCCCTGTTCACGCGCGCGCGAGACGTGCAGACAGGGTTGCCAGGTGAGAGCGAATGGCGCGGTTCACGCCTCGCACAACAGAGAGAGAGATGCGCTCTGCATGGTGGGACATAAAAGAGAGCGAGTACTTGGGCGAGTAGGCCGTGCGGTCGACGCTGCCGCGCGCGACTTTGCGCGCGAGGCGGCGCAGCTTGAGAACGGCGGTGGGCGAGAAGCCGCCGCCGAACGTCTCGTGGAGCAGTAGGTTGAAGTTGTTGCGCTTGACAAAGATCGCGTCGTGGTAGAAACCGCGATGCGCCTTGACGTAGCCGTGGCCGGTCTTGTGGGGAGAAGGGTTGGCCGGGCTGCCCGCGCGCCTTGCAGCCCATGTTCAGGCGGCGGGCCTTTTCCTCGGTGTTGCCGAAGGCGTAGGAGTGGCCAACGGAGGCGGGCGTGCCGCCACTCGAGGCGTTGCCAACGCCCGTCGAGGAGGTTTGTTGTTTGTCCACTTCATTCAGAGAGAGGCATTCCCTGCCTGTCTGCGCCCTAGTCTGCGCCCTCGCCCCCTCTCTCTCCTCTCGCGCTGTAATACGCCGCGCGAGGTATTTTCTTCTAAATAGCAAGGTCTGTGAAGGCCCAGCCCGGGGTTGTGCGTTTAGGGGAAGGCCAAGGCTCACACCTCAACCAGGGGTGTGAAGATCGTCGGTGTGAGAATTCCCAAAACCTTCGCAAAAATGGTGGGTGTCGGCTTACTGCTCGGGCTCGTCGGGCTCCTCCCCGCTGGCCCGGCCCACTCCTGCGGCCCGCTGGCGCTGCCGCGGCCCCCACGCGGCGGCCTGCTCCAGATGCAGACCGCGGAGGACGCCGCCAAGCAGGCGTGGCTCGCGCGCCAGTCCACGCCGGCCTTTGGGCCGAGCGGAGGCACTCCGACCATGGCTCCGCGGCCTCCGGGAGGTATGTCGCCTCCGGGGTTGCCTCCGCCGTTTGGTCTTCCACCGCCCATGCCGCGGCCGGGCCTGCCGCCGCCGATGGGCGGGATGCCGCCGCCGATGGGCGGGATGCCGCCGCCGATGGGCATGGCGCCGCCGGGGATGCCTCCTCCGTTTGGGATGGCACCACCAATGGCGCGGCCAGGTATGGCGCCGTCGATGAACGGGCTGCCGCCGCCGATGGCGCGGCCGGGGATGCCGCCTCCGATGGGGGGTGGCGTCATGCCCGGTGGCCGACCGGGCATGCCTGCCCCGCCCGGAGGCGGTCTTGGAGGCGGGCCGGGAGGTGGGCTGCCTCCGAGGCCAGGGATGGGTGGAGGTCCTCCGGGCAGCGGCCCGCCCGGTGGTATGGCCCCTCCGCCTCCGATGGGCGGCATGGGCTTCGGGAACAGCAACCCCTCCTCCCGACCTGGAGGGCCGATGGGAGGTGAGCGGCCACTTCAAGACACCCCCAAGACACCCGGCCAAGACACCCCTGCTGAGAGAAGACACCGCCGCACACGTCCGTGACACGCCTCCCACGCCGCCGATTCCGTCTGCAGGTGCAGGCATGCCCCCTCGACCCGGAGGAGGCTTGGGAGGAGGCGTGGGAGGAGGCGTGGGAGGAGGCGTGGGAGGTCCGCCGGGCGCTGGGGGCTTCCAGTCCTCTCGACCTGGCATGCCCCCTCTCGGCGGCGGCCCCCCGCCTCGCGGCGGGATGGGAGGAGGCCCCCCCGGGATGGGTGGCGGCGGCCCGCCACCGCGCGCAGGTGGGCCGCCTGGCATTGGCGGAGGGATGGGCGGAGGGATGGGCGGAGGGATGGGCGGAGGTCCTCCCGGGAGGGGGGGGCCGCCCGGCGGCCTCGGAGCACCTGGCCGCGGAGGCGAGCCGTCCGCCTCGCCTCGGCTGCGCACACGCACCCCTCCCCCCGACCCGCGCCGCTCACTCGCCTCGCGTCTCCCGCCGCGCAGGCGCGCCGGCCGTTGGCGGCGCTGCGCCGGGCGGGTTTGGCGGCGCTGCGCCGGGCGGGTTTGGCGGCGCTGCGCCGGGCGGGTTTGGCGGCGCTTCGCGCGGAGGCGGAGGCGCTCCCGGCTTTGGGGGAGGGCCGCCCGGCCGCGGAGGCGGGCCGCCGCTCCGCGCAGGGGGAAGGGTCACGTCCGCGACGCGTCTCACGTCGTCTGTCGCGTCGCGAGTAGGGCCGCCGCCTCGAGGGGGAGGGCCGCCGGGGAGGGGAGGGCCTGGCGGCGCCGCTCCGCCATCGCGCGGGGGAGGAGGCTTCGGCCAGCCGGCGGGAGGTTTCGGGCAGCAGCAGCAGTCGCGCGGAGGCGTGTTGCGACACCCAGAGCTTTGCGGGCGCTCCCTTCCCTGAGCCTTGTCGAGCCTCTCCCTGCAGGCTTTGGCTCCTCGCCCGGCTTCGGCGGCCAGCGGGGCGGGCAGGGCGGGTTCGGGTCCTCGGGACGGGGAGGAGGCGCGGCACCCCCGCGCGAGAGGCTCACACTCGGAGAGACGCGCCTCGCCGCCCCTCGCCCCTCCACCTCCCCGCCCTCAGCTCCCTGCCCCCAGCTCCGTGCCCCTCCCTGCCCGTGCCCGCAGGCATGTCGTCGGGCCGGCGAGGGGACGACTGGCAGCCCTCGCGCAGAGGGGTGCAGCCGGGGCGCGGAAGCCAGTCGCAGTTCGGAGGAGGAGGAGGAGGCGGGTGGGCGGCGGGCCGGCAGTCTGCTTCGGGCGACGGCATCTCCGGCCGGCTGCAGAACGGGCGGCCGCTCGGCGTCGGGGTTGGCCAGACAGTCGGCAGGCCGGGGCTGGTCGGGCGGCCGGCGCAGCGGCGGTCGGTGGCTAACTACGGCCAGACGACGTACCGCGAGGCACCTTCGCACCTCCCGACCGCGGCGTGAGGCCGATGTCGCCTCACCGCCGCCCGGCTGCGAGCAGGCGCCCGAGCAGCTCGACTACGTCGAGCTCGAGGACCCGCAGGGCAGGGCGGCGTGGCAGGAGGAGGCGCGGCCCCGCGCCTCGGCTCGATCGCAGCTCCACCTCGGCTTCGCCGGCCCTCCACCCCGGCCCTCCACCCCGGCCCTCGTCTGGCCAGGTGCGGCGGCGCAACTCGCGCGACGCCTTCTCGCGCGCGCGGCTCGAGCTGCCGCCGCAGCGGACCACCGCCGAGTACGAAGACTACTGGCTGCAGGGCGGCCGGCAGTACCGGCGCGACGCGCTGGCGAGCTTGCGCCGGCAGAGCAACGACCGCGGCTCCAACATCCGGTGGGAGGCGGAGCAGCAGGCGGAGCAGCGCGAGTGGCAGGCCGAGGTGCAGCGGCGCAACTCGCGCGACGCATTCTCGCGCGCGAGCCTCGACATGCAGCAGCCCGCCTACAACGAAGTTGAGGCGGCGACGCCGTGGCTGGCCGAGGGCGGCCGCCGCCACCAGCAGGACGGCGCGGGCCACGACGAGGTGTGGGTGCACTGACCGGTTCCAGTGTCCGGTACATGGGGCCTGGCTTGCGACTGAGGACGGACGGAGGACAGGCCTGCACTGTGTGACATGATTGCATGCACTCTTGCTGGGCGGGGGGGGTTTACAGGGCTTGTGCGCGCGGTTGTGGCCTCTCGGAGGGGAGCGCGGTCTCTGTAGCAGAGCCCGCCGTCGCTCTCCTCTAGTGATTGATTGTATCTTGATGTGTGTTGTTACCAGTCTTTTATTGAGCGGCCTGGGTCAAGCCGTAAAACTGACCCTAGGAGTAGCACTTCTCTCTCTCGCGTCGCCCCCCCCGTGTGCGCCTTGATCTCCTCGAGTTCCGGGCGCACACTGGGGGGGGCGATTTTGCGTTTGGACTCTTAGCACGTAGGCGATGCCAGCCGAGCGTGCGTCGCAGTCGCCAAGTCGCGCACAGGCGCGAGTGCGAGGCGCTGGCTGCGATGCTCTCTGCTAGCTCTCTGTCTGAGAGAGACTCTCATCTCACGCCGCCCGCGGTCCCAGCTTGCGTGTCTCGCCAGACCGGCGTGCAGCGAGGCGCGGGAGAGTTGGGGAATGGGGAGATCCCTGGAGCGACCTGCTTGTGCCGTTGCGCGCGCGCACTCCGCACACACGTGTCGGTGAGGGGTGGTTGTAGTTGTATTTTTATACGGGGTGTGGACCGTGAGTTGACCAGGGGTTGTGCGCCGGGCCCTCCTGCTCGGCTCCAGCCAGTAGACAAGTCTTGTCACTAACAGAGTAGAAGGATCTGACCTCGGGGCCGATGTGACCAAGCGCTGGTAGCGTGGTTTTACCTCACACCCATGGTCTCACAGTGTGCCGGCAGTCGCCGAGCAGTGTCGCTCACACAAGCCGCAGCACAAGTGACTGAGGGCCAGTGAGGGCGAGCCCATCGCTGTGAGCCTGTGACAGCTGTGGCAGCCGCACAGTAGGCTGTGTCAACTGTGCAGAGCGTGTGAGCAGCCGAGGAGCTGCTCTCCAGGCTTCTGACGCAAAGAGCTGCATGCCATCGAAGGCGCTGTCGAGGTTCGCCGAGCGCGGCGCAGGTTGGAGGACACCGTCACCGACGAGCGCGTTGGACTTTTCACTCCTCTGGCGACCCGTGATGCGTGAAAGAGGAGGGAACGGGATAGGGCGGGTGCGACTGCGAACACAAGACTTCCCCAAGAGAGTGCACACATCACACAGTCCCGGCTCACGCACACGGTACAAAGATACCACACGGCACACGCGACAACACACACACAGCATCATCTGCTCTCGGTCCTGGTGCGCGTGAGGACCCCCTCGCTCTCCGACCGCTGGTGGCGAGAGACGCTCCGTGGCGGCGCGCCGGCTTCCTCGCCGTGCCTGCGTGCGGCGTCGCCGCCCTGCAAGTAGGCCGTGAGCGCCTGAGTTCACGGCCAAAGGCTGTGAAGAGACGCGGTCCGGACGCGCCGCCGCGGCGCGCTCGGTGCGCCTTTGCGGCGGTCTCGTACGCAGTGAAGGTGATGATGCACTGCGGGATGGTGCGCACAATGTTGAGGCGGTAGCCGTGCCACAGCCCTGCGACGCCGTCGGACTGGACCTAGGGAGGGTCCGAGAAGGCTCGCGGGAGGCCCCTCGCTGCCCCGGCGCAGCCACGCCGCCGGCGCCGTCTGGCGGATCGCGTCCAGCGTGCCGGCGTAGAGCTTGCCGCCCTTGTCGAACTGCAGGCGCGCGCGCACAACCTCGTGCGGGTACGTGAGCGTGGAGGCGACCTGTTCACACCGGGAAGAGACCGCCCTCCGCGCAAGCCTCGGGCGGGCGGGCAGGCGGAGGGGGGCGGCACCAGCTTCGACAGCGCGCTCGCGACAATCACCTCGCCGAGGGCGGGCGTGGCGGGGGCGTGGCTGCTGCTCGAGCCGCGGCCGCGCTCGACAGAGCCGTACACGCCCGGGCCCGACGCGTCCTGCTTCCCCCTTCGGTCCGCCCGCCAGCTCGCGCCTGCGGGGCATGTGCCCCGGGAGGTGGTGTGGACGTGTCACGGATGTGCCCTCCGGCCCTCCCGCCCGCGCCCATGAGCTTGAAGCGCTCGTAGAGCGGGAACTGGATCATGATGTGCGAGAGGCCGAGCAGCGAAGCGCGCAGTCCCGCGAAGAAGGCGAGGCCGCCCTCCTCGGCGTAGATGGTCCGGATCGCGTGCGTCATCGAGTGGTACTGCGGCGAGGCGGACGAGAGGTGCTGCGTGGTCAGCCGAGTCCGCACCACCCAAAACGGGTTGGTGATGACGTCCGTCACGAGCCCGGCGAGGCCCGCGGCAGTGAGGTGGACGCCGGGCGACTCGCCGCTCGCGCCGCTGCCGCGCGCGATCGCGGACTTGGCGTGCTCGTAGCACGGGAAGTAGCACGCCTGCTCGCAGCTACGGCCGTCAACAGTTGACGCTGACTGGCGACAGCGGGCTGCTCGAAGGCAGCGCGCCCAAAAGATGCCGACGGAGCAGAGGGAGGGCGTGAGCCCGTGGTACCAGCCGCGTATGCCCTCCTCGCGGTAGATCAGCCGCAGCGCAGAGAGCACGCCTACCACGCGCCGCCGTTTGTCAGCCTAGCCGGGACTCGCGTACCCGCGGCCGCAGAGAGCAGGGGGCCGTCGTAGCGGTGTGAGCTCTTCCCGGGAAGAGCGACGCTCTCGACCTGCGCGCGTGTCTTGGCCACGTCGAGCGGCGAGCACAGCGTCGTCGAGAAGACGCCCGAGATGGACCCCGCGATGGCCTGAGCGGCGGGAGTGGCAGGCGTGTGATGCAGGCCGCGTAGGGTTGCAGCGGCGAGACCCTCGCTGCCACGCCAAAAGCTGCAGCAATGGCTTGGGATGCGGACGTGGGGAGGGGACACGTGGCAGGAGCGGTGACGCCGGTGCCTTGACGGCCCAGTCGACGGCTGTCGGTCCCTCCGGCGCGGGAGGCGAGTGGACCTCGTGCTCCTCCTCCCATGGGCGGCCCGAGTCGGAGGTGCCGGACTGCGACCCCGAGTCAGCCATCGCGTGCGGAGCCAGGTTCGAGTGCCGGCTGGCCGAAGGAGAAGAGAAGAAAGAATTCGCCGGGATGTGAACAGCAGCGGAGGAGCGATTTATTTATTTATTTAGGAGCGCCATCCCTTGGGTTGTCCGTTTTCTTTCTTTCTTTTTAGGAGCGCCATCCCTCCCTTGGGTCGTCTGTTTTCTTTCTTTTTTCAGAGGAGCGCAAAATTGTTATGCTTCGATCCTCCCCGGAGTCGAACTGGCAGCCACTCGCACCAAGGAGGCGAGGTGTGGCTACGTGACCCAGAAAAGGCCAGAGTCAGGAGCAACCCTCGAGGTGGGTCGCTCATACTCAACAAAAAAACTAACCAATGAAAAATGTACGTAAGAGGTAGGGCCCTTAGGGGCCTAGAGAACACAACCCCCTGTCTCTTTTCTCCCAGTAAGCGAAAAGTACGTACACTGAAAAATCTTAAACCACGGCTGAAGTACCTTGCACGCCTGCGTGGATCGCGTCACACCAATCCTCGCTACCCAACGCGGCCAATCCACCTCGAGAACCTCGAGAAGTACCTTGGCCTAATGCCTCTTGGCGAGTCTGCTGAGCTCTACCTCGCCTCGTTCGGCACCGCCACGGCCTGCCTCTGCCTCACCACGCCGGCAATCTGCTGCCTGGTGAGGCGGACCAACCGCTCCCGGCAGCGGGCTGCCGCAGCCACGGAAGGGCACAGAGCCCAGCGCTCGGTCGCCTCTTCGCGATCGGTCGCTGAGCCGGAGGACTCGCAGAGCGCCGCGTGCCGCGAGGCGGCGGAGGCGGCTCTGGTGCGGGCGCAACAGGCCAAGAATCGCGTTCGGCGCAGCTTCAACAGCCTCGTGCGCGCCCTCTTTCTCTGCTGCGTGCTGGGCGGGTTCGGGATCGCGATGGCGGGCTTCACGGCCCAGGACACGTCGCCGGGCCGCACGACCGCGCGCGAGTTCCTCACCCGCTTCACCCTCCCCTTTGCGGTGATGGTGGTGGTTGCGCCGTCGTGCGCACTGCTCGCCGGTCTCAGCCCAAGCGCCTCTCCAGCCGCGGTTGATTGGGCCTGAATCTGTCGGAAGCTCCCTAGGCCTCGACCCGGCGCTGCCTCGGCGGATGAGGAGCCAGCTCCACCGCATCGTAGTCGTGATGATGCCGCTCTGCGGGTCGGTCAGCCTTGGACTTGCGCTCTTCTTCGCCCTCTCGCCGCGGCTCGCCACATCGAGGCCGCTCGCCTTCACCTTTGGCGTGCTGTCGGCCTCGATGTGGGCGCTGCTCGCCCTCTCTCTGCCGCTGCTGCTCGCGAGCCGCACGCGTGCGCTGCCCCGCGTCTCGGTCCTGTTGCAGCGGCAGATGCGCATCGTCGGCGAGTCGTGCGGAGGCGGCAAGCCGTCCGCCAGCGACTGGGGAGCCATCCCGTGCACCGAGTGGCTCGAGGGGTGGCCTCGCGCAGCGTATCTGCTGGAGGGGGAGGGCTACTTCGCCGTCGCGCCACGCGAGGCGGCAGAGACCTTCTACACCTCCGTCTCGCTCGTCTTTGTGATGACTGGCGTCGCCTTCCTCGCCGCCTTCGCCGTCGCCTCGCAGCGCGGCGCGCCCGGCTGGTCGACCGTTGGACTCCACCTCCCGCTCGCCGCCACCTACGGCCTCGTCTCGCCGGCGCTGCTCTGCCGGCCGACGCGGCGCGCCTTTGCCGCCTGTGTCAGCCGGCTCTTCTCGGGCGGCGAGGAGCGCGAGGCGGCCGTCATCGCGGCGCTCCTCGGAGGGCTCGACGCGGCGCACGCCCTGGGGCTGGCGCGCAAGACATTCCGTGGCCTGCCGATCAGCGCCATCGGGCCGAGCGATCTCGGCTCCTCCGAGGACAGCGGGCTGCACGCGCGCACCGTCAAGCTGCCGCTCGGCAGCTGCGACGCCTTTGTTTCCCACTCCTGGCACGACGACGGAGGGGAGAAGTGAAAACAGCGCGCGGAGGCGGGCTGCCACCCCTCCCTCCTCGTCCACGCCTCTGGACTGTGTGCAGGTACGCCGCGCTGCAGAGGTGGGCGACCGGGTTCGAGGCGGAACACGGGCGCGAGCCGCTCGTCTTCATCGACAAGGCGCGAGCAGCAAGCCGCCCACTCACGCTTCCTTGAGGGTGAAGTATGCTGATCGTCTCCGCTCCCTCGACCAGGCATGCATAGAGCAGACCAACCCGGCCGCCTCGCTGCCGTGCCTGCCCATCTACCTGGCGGGCTGCAAGCGGCTAGTCGTGCTGGCGGGCCCAACCTTCACCGAGCGGCTGTGGACAGCGGTGGAGCTCTTCACTTTTACGGTGATGGGTGGCACACTCGACCGGATCGACGTGCTCCCCCTCGACCGGCGGCGCGGGCTCGCAGGCGTGCTCGACAAGTTCGATGCCTTTGACGTGACGCACGCAAAGTGCGCACGCACCGAGGACCGGCAGAGGCTGCTCGCGGTGATCGAGGCGGCGTTCGGCAACCATGGGCCCTTCAACCTCCTCGTGCGCACCATCCTGCGCCGCCGCCACTCGCGGAGGCACGGGTCGACGCGGGGTGGCGGCCGCCCCGCGCTCTCCTCGCGCCTGTCCGCCGCCGGGCTCGGCCTTCTGTGGGGAGGGGGAGGGTCGCCGGCGGTGACGGCGCGCGAGTCGACGGTGTCTTCGATCCGGCCGTCGGACGCCAAGGAGGGACGGGGCGACGGCGCGGGCGAGGAGTCGAAGAGGGACGAGCCAGACAAGGAGGAGGATCGCGGCGGAGGAGGCTTGGGCGGCGAACAGAGCGGCGCCGCCGCGCGTGGCGCCACAACGACAAGCGGAGCCGGAGGAGCGGATGTTGTCGTCGTGAGGATGTCGGCGTGTGTCGTCTGATGATTACGCAGTACGGCTCAGGGCGTGTGCTGTGTGACATACGAGATACGTGCGTGCACCTGGGTCGTACGTGCGCACAATCTCGATTATCGGACGACTTTGGCATGGGCTAGTTCCATTTCACTCTGACACGCTAATCTTGAAAACGTCCAACGGAGCTCCGTGTTGCTCCCAGCGCCCTCCCCCGCGCTTCCTGCGGCCATGGCCGATGATACTAGTATGAGAGGTCATCTGGCTACCGCGAGCGCGACTCAACTCGCCGACGTCGTCCGATGATTGTGCCTCAAAGTCAGCCTCCGGAGGCTATCGTGGGGTCGAGCCGGCAGTAGCCGTGACATGTGGTTCCACCACCCCTCGTATGCTTTGCCTCTGACCGCCACCGTTCCCAGGCTGCCAAATGGGATGGAAAGGAAGGCTCGGCGAGCGTATAGAAGCGTGCTCGACCTCGTCGTGGCAACCTGCACGGCAGCGCTGGTAGGCGCGATGAGCGTCGTGCCACCTGACCCGAGACGGGTCGCAGGCGTCGTACCGAGCGCGTCGAGACCGTGTCCTGATGTGATCTGCACGGGTGAGTCACGTCGGCGTCAAAGGAGCGACGTGCGACCTGTCAGAGC